CCTTCTTTCCTTTCCCCTACCCCTCCCACTTCCTTCCCCTTTGCCCCTCCAAAAGCTAATTTTTAAATTTGGACAGAGTGCCAGAGACCTTTATCTAAAATTTGAGCTCAAATAGTGTAAGTGGATTGCAGATGGTTTTCTAATAGAAAAAGGGGGAAACTGCTGAAATTAAGCTAGGCAATTTTTCTTTGAACTTATTAAATTCTTAACTATCACTGATCTAGATAAATGGTAACAGATGGGCTGAAAGCTAACTTGAGCTGGGATGTGGCCACCCTTGTACCCTACTCTTAGTTTATAGATGTTGTTAATGATACTGACACCGAGGAACTGAGCTGTATCCTCCCAGAGGCTCCCTGTGTAAATAGTGTGAAGACTGAATCATCATCTCTGATATTGACACATTGCTCCCCCATGGCCTTTTTGTCCCAGTCTTCAAACGTTCCTTCAAAGGTTGCTTCTCTCAAGTGACTGCTTTATTGTTTTGTTTTTTTTAAACCAGGGGTGGGCGCTGCCTGTCTCAGGAGACGTCCTTGGTACCAGCATCTTTTTCTTCAGACCTGCCATCTGTTCCAGTGAATAATTCTACCAACCACGTTTTCCATGATTTGCCTCATTATGTCTCCACGTCCTTTACACAGTATGTGATTTTTATGGAGTTGGTGTTTCTTGGGGAGGAGAGTGGAAAGGAATGAGGGGGTTTGCAAAGATAATGACTGAGCTTTGCCTAAAGATGTTCCAAATCACCCACTTATAAATTGAGTGTTTAGAGAGGCAGCTTTCAGAATTGGCTAGAGAGCTATAAAGAAAAGAAGTAAAAATAATTTGAGCTCAGCAGATATATATTTAGATAACAAATTCAAAGAGAAGCAGATGAAGAAACCTGGAAAAACAACTAAAAACTATGAAATAAAAACAATAGATTGCAATTGGGTCACACAGCTGACACATGAATAGTAACTCCTGACTGGGAAGAGTTGGGAAGGAAGCAGCTGAAGGAGGCAGAGATTATCTAAGCCGAAGTCTGACAGTGCCAAATGAGAATGTTACTGATTGAAAAATGCTCTGGACCCAGGGAGTAGTGAAATTACCTCTTTGCCTCGGCATCAAAGGACTATACATATGCCAATCTGTGGTGTATCTTTGGCTTGGTTCCAACCCCTTTCTGACTTCTCTGCTGATCTTCAGATCCTTCTGGACTCAGAAAGGGAATTTATGAAAAACCTGCACACTTCTTCCTTCATCCAATACACATACCCTTACTTGCCAGGAATTATGCTAGCTGCTTGCAAATACTGATTTATGTTTGTATAGGGATTGAGTTTGGCAGATATGATTCAATACAAGCTTCCTAACAACTTCAGATGTAGATTTTAATGCTTTCACTTTATAGGTCAAAGATAGTGATGCTCAGGAGGTTAAATTACTTTGTCTAAGGTTTTACAGCTCTTGAGTGGAAAATCTGCAATTGAACATATATTACACAGCATACAAGGCACAAAATTTGTTGCTGAGATTCTGAAGATGAATAAGAAATGGTCTCTGCCCTCAAAAGTTTAGAAGCCTGGATAGAGCAAAGATGAACAAAGACTTAACTTCTGTAAGGATAATACAAGGAAGAAACTAAGTTTTATAAGAGAGTAACTGATAAGAGAGATATAATTGAGTGGGAACTGATAAGAATTTAAGGAATCTTCTCTTATAAAGGCATTTGAATTGTAGCTGGGAACTGATGAAGCCAAAGATCCTGAGACGTGAATCCTAAATGGGGGTATTTAGGCTAGTGCTGATTGAAATGTGGTAAAGGTGCTTTGGGGCAGGGATTCTTGTTTTCTGATTCCTAATTCTTACAGTGTAGAGAGAATTTTCTTGTTAAATATGACAGTTTGGCCTATGTTTTAGAGGCCAGGGGCTACGAAAGTATTCCATGGACTCTGGGTGGGCACATTAAAAATTCTATCATTAGAGAGTTCAGATTGTAGAAGAGGTTTATTCTTGGTCCCTACTTGATAATTACTTTGATTTTCTGTAATTCATCCTGTATGTGAAAGAACTTAGTCAATTTGTAACAAATCCACCTCTATATAGGACCTCCAGTAACTCCCATCACCTTACTCTACCAGGCTCATTTTTCACCTGAATAAACTTTAAAAATGGCCCTTTCCTCCTCCTACTGCACAGTGACACATCTAATTAAGTCATGATCCTTACTAATGGTTGATTCAAAACTATTTGCTCACTCCCTTTGATTGAGAGAAATAAGTCATGGTATAATATGGAAGGCTAGCATGGCTATATATCTTGGTTTGGTTAGGACAGTCCCAATTTATATCTGTGGTTCTAGACTCATAACTCCTTCTTCCATTCTCAAATATATACTAGTTTGCATGTCACCCACTTGAGGCTCTTAATCATTTGGTCCTGGCCTATCTTACCAGGCCCATATTATACTTCATCTCTCCAGGCTGTGGTACCCAGTGCTTTAGACACAAACGTCCTGGCCATCTGCAACCAGGGCCCTCATTTCTGCAACTTTGCACTTTTGCACTGGACTGGGTTTTTTGGCCTATTCTACTCTCTCATTTTTCACACCCAGCTCAGATATCATGTTTTCCTTCTGACTGATTCAGTTTGTCTCAGAATTAATTGCTTTCTTCTTCTAAATCCGAAACACTTCTAAATCAACACACTTTCTGCCATGTTTTTTAATTGTCTAGACCATACTCCCTACCTAGAATGTTAATTCCATAATGTAGAGACTGTGTTGATTTTCTTCCCAGTAGTAGTAGCTTCTGGTGTAAAACTTTGTATATAGAAGGGGCTCAGAAGTATTTCTATGACTCATGATATGAATAGGTATTAATTCAGGACTATTCAGTTTAGATAGGATTTTTTCCTCTTCTCTGACCTCTGTGAGCCTTTGCATTTTTCAAGGGGGCCCTCATATGACCTCTTCTTATATAACCAGGTCATAGATTTCAGTCTCAGACACCTTATACTTCAACCAGATACTCTTTGCATCATTAATAACTGCTATCCCATTTCTTTCTACTTGTTTTTGTATACCTGAAACCTACTTTGAGAAAACCAATATAGCCAAGCATGGGTTATAAACACATTGATAGGTAATCATTTACCTTATGAAAAGATTCTATACAGAATTGTTATTGACAGCCAATTTCTGTCATTTTATTTTTAAAAATAGTTGAGGAATGCATTCATTAAATATAGGCAAACTATATTTTGAAGACTATGAGTAGATTTGTTTTTCACTATTTGTCATCTTTTAGTTTCCTGGGTAATTTGAAATAATTCTATTTCACTGTTGTCTTTCTTATTTTTCTCATTGCTGAGACAAAATACATGACACCTAAAGTTAAAGGAGAAAAAGTTTATTTGGCCCACAGTTTGTAAAGGTTTCAGTTCATAGCTGACTGGTTCCAAGGCAGAGTGGCCTGGCAGGAGGCATTGCAGAGGAGAAGCAGTTCATGGCAGGCAGAAGGCAGAAGGTAGAAGACAGAGGGCAGCAAGGAAGCAAGCAATAAGCTACAAGTGACAAGCAGCAAGCAACCCCAACAGCAGCCGTCTTTCTGTCTCATATTTTATCCAGTCTACCTTGGATGGGTACCACTCACATTCTTAATCCTAGCATTGCACCATGAATCAATCCCAGCATCACATCCTTGATTTTAGCATCACACACCCTAGATCCAGGCACCTCAAAAAAGCCCAACCTATGACCACAAGAGGCTTTGGGGGAACATCTAGATATGAGCCATAGCAACTGTCTAGGCTATTCTGGATTTCTGGTCTTGTTGATGCATTTCATTTATGAAGACTAATTAATTCTTTATCCCTAATTATCCCTGGAATGTGATGAGGTGAATACTTTTCATTTTTCACTAACCCAGTGTATTAGCTCTCCTATTGTTAGGAACAAATACCCAACATAATAACTTAAAGGAAGAAATGGTTTATTTGGCTCATAGTTTTGGGAGGTTAAGTCTATGGTCAGCTGGTTCCAAGGCAGAAACAGCATGGCATTCATTAAATATAGGCATTAAATATATACCCATCAGGGAAAATGTTAAATCCTGTAGCTCAGTGTTTATCATCTGGGCACATGGTGGTAAGATGTGAATATCAGAGGGTTTGCGTGGCCCCATACTTGTGGTTTTGCTGGTTATAGCCTACTCAGTCTCTGTCTTGTGTTGGTTTTGCTTGCTGCCTTTGGCTCTCCTTGGAAGATGTTCTGTATTTCTAGCATCTCCAAATTCCTGCAGTCACCTTCAGCTTCATTCCTGCAACTTCATATACCTTCCTCTCAAGGGCACATTTCCTGGTCATGCAGGTCTCCTTTTGAAATCTGGGCAGAAGCTTCCATGATCCTACAATTATTATAGTCTGCATGCCTGAACAACTAGAATTACAGGGATGATGGCAGTGCCTGCTGCCAGCACAACTACTATCCAGGTCCCCTTAGGCTACGGCTGTAGCAATCTCTGAGTTCCTACAAGATTGACTGTGGTAAAATGAATCTGAGGGAACCAATTCCCTAGGCTACCCTTCTTGAGTAGGGGCCCCAGGGGGCCTCTTCTCAAATGAATGATTTACACTTTTGCACCTTTGAACCTGCTATGGGTAATGTTCTGCTGATTCCTGAGATACCTTAAATACATCTTTGTTCTTTTTAATGACATCATTCTCTTCAGCAACCACATCTCTGGTGGCCCCAAATTTATATGTGTTTCTTGTAGGCCAAAATTTAAAGTTTTAAGATTTTCCTGCTCTACTTCTTGTCCCAAATTCTCACTATAAATCTGGCTAAAATTAGCTAGCAGTAATCATACCACAGCCTGAATGTTGGGCGACCTTGAAATTTCCTCCACCAGATCAATTAGTCTACCATTCTTAAACTTAAGCTCCTGCAAAATCTAAGAACATGAGAAAAATGTAGACAAAGATTTGCCAGAATGTAACACACAAAACCTTTAGTCTAATTGTCAATGGAGTTCTTGCGGCTAACTAAAACCACCTGAATTTTGTCTTTACTGTCTACATGTTAATAAACATTCTGGTCTTCTGAGCTCTAAAAAGAATTTTCTATCAACCTCTGCTTAACAGCATTCTAAGGTTTCTCCAGCTCAAATCTTCAAATCTTTTAGAACTGTTCAGGAAAATCAGTTTCAAAGGCTTCTGAACAGCATGGTCATGTATACTCACAGCATTGTCCCCACTCCTTGGATCAGTTTTCAATGGCAGAATTCTCATTACTGAGACATAGTACCCAACCCTCACAACTTTCAAGAGGAAATGGTTTATTTGGCTCATGGTTTTAGAGGGTTCAGTTGATGATCAGCTGGCTACAAGGCAGAAATATAATGGAAAGGTGTGGCCCAGAAAAGCTTACTTCATGACAGCCAGGAAGCAGAGCAGAAGAATAGCACCAGAAAGAAAGGGGACAGGGACAAGATATAGATGCTGAGACCATGACTCTCTGACACACCCAAACACATCCAGAAGTGTGCTTTACCAATCTACTAGATGGTTCCCAGGATAACCAAGTTAACAATTAAGCTTAGCCATTATACCCAGTGTATTGGTCAGCTTTCCTGTTGCTGAGATAAAATATTTGGCACC